CAAGGCTCAGTACTGCCCTGATGATATGGCGTTGTTGGAGAAGGACACCAGAAGGCATTGATTTCAGATTAGGTTATTTGCAGATGGGGGTAGGAAGTCTCAGCCGGGGGCATCTGTCAGCGGTGGTACCATTATCTGTGTGACAGGGTTGCAAGAACCAAAATTGTTTTCCAGCTAATCTTTGCTTTTATGACTCACTCCTCAAAGTTTAAAGGGGAATATGTAGATGATAAGTGTGCTATAGTTTAAATTCATATTCGTATATGCTTTAACTGTTTTCATAGCCATCTTGTCTGCCCTTTAAGCCATGCTTTGCCTTCTCCGAGAAAACCCATGCACACCACTGCCTATAAATCATCACACACGTATACTTTTGTATGAAACACACACCGCTAATGCTTTATTTTAAGTTGTCCTCAGGAGTAGGAAGGCTTATCAAAGTTATGCTGAAGCCCACTCGTTAGCCAAGGCTTTGTTAGCATTCAACTTAATCCAGAACGGTAACAGAGCGACTCATGTGGGCTGAGACGTATAGTAGGAGTCCACATGAAAGATACCTAAAAACCCGTTGGATAATTTAGACCTGCACAGAAACAAAGGTTTAGTCAAAGTGTTTGTTTTGATTAATGTCATGAATTGCACGTGATTTTAACAATTTGTAGTCTATTTCACATAGACATCTGTGTACAGAAACATCCATGTTGATATGTACTATTTCCTAACCTATTTACTCACCTGATCACAAATAAACTTCTGTTTTTTTCACCCAAATTGAAGGAAACTGGAGAGATTTTTAGCTTTTTTATTTCATTTTTCAGTAGCTGTAATTACTTAAGCTTTCTTACGTGTAGCCACATGATCGTACAATAATTCTGCGTGCATCGTGTTTGCAGTCATGCCATGACAACACATTTAGGTAAGAGGAGCAGTGGCACCTTTAAGTGTCTCAAACTAAATGGGACACTTCATAGTGGGTCGCATTGACTTTGTGTGGCCTTGATTGCAAATTGGAGGACTAGCAAGCTGGTGCGTATTTGTGGGTTGATTAATTAACTGATCATGCTTCTACTTGGACTATTAACAGTAGATTTGATTTGTATTTGATGCCCTCAAATAACCGGTTGACTGAATATTTGTATGCAACCAGGTGTCATCTTTTGGACAAAGCCTATTGAATGACTCCGAGCGCACAGCTTCATGAGAACGTGTTTAAATCTTGCCTCATTTTTTACTTTAAGAACAACAGATGCAGATTTTTTTCTATGTTAATTAACTAAATTATTCTATGATCTTCTTCCAGTTTCCTCTGTATGAGATGAGGAGAAGGGAGCGGGATGGTATAACCTCTTGTGGTTTGCTATAGTGGCTGGATTGCTTTTGAGTTGTTTACCATCTAAGGTTGGCATGGAGATGTGTCTGTCAAGTAGGTACAGATGGTCTGGTGGGACGTCTAATGTACCTCTGAAACTAGACCTGCAATAAAACTGAGGAGGTACTCAAAGCAGGGAGGGCAATGCAGGCTGTCATTTCTTGATATGTATCACTGTGTTTGCTTATTTCAAGCTATAGCTCTTTTAAATAACACTGCATTGAGTGGAAGCAGTCTGCTGAATGTGTGTGTTGTGTTTCTGGTTTGATGTGAATTGCACGCTCACAGGTTGGCACAGAAAACAAGAACAATCTTTAACCTGCACAGTGATTCTCAGGGTACAAGCTGATATGTCTTTTGCAGGGAAAGTCGAGTGAGTTTGCTCTTTCTATCGTTCAGACCGTAATTATTAGCTTTAGCGACGTTAACTTGTTTTTAATCTTGTGAGGAAAACTTGTCAGAGTGTGAGAACACCTGGTCTGATGCTTTCACGGCAGCAGATGTTTAAATAGCTGAAGTGTTTTTGAATCAGAGCTGCAGGAACATGACTGTCTTCGCACTTTCACAGAAAGGTTGTTAACCTGCTGGTGCACCCTTATTCCATCCTCAAGAGATACCGTTTGGAGGAAAAGTGTTACTGAGGAAACATCGCCTCAGGACTCTAAGGCTCTCCTCTACCTTCCAGTTCTAGGTACATTTTAGGTTTTTGGTTTGCTTGATATTATTACTTTATGCACAAACGAGGCACCGCGAGGCAGCTCCTAAAAGGTTGCTGGAAATGGGAGAAGCAAGGGGAAATAAGGCAGTTTAATAAAACGAGGATACAGAATCCTTCCTGGAATGCGCTGAACATCATTTGAGGAATCCGTGCTGGATGTCTGCAGGATAATATTAAAGTGTGTGGTATGAATACATAAAAATGGATAGTTTTTATTTTAAAATAAGGATGGTCCAATAAGAGTGGACTCTTTTTTCTGAATGATAAATATCTCACTTTAAACTGAAACTCAGCAGTGGGTCCTTTGCCCTCTTGCTGACTGCTGATGAACTGTGGATAGGAGACAGAAACTATAAAATATTTACAGGCTCTCTGTCACCTTGAGACCGCCAGAGTCACCACCTGTCGGGATCTCAGTGGGGAATCTGTGGCTGTGGTTTGACTAATTGGTTAGAAACTGGCTGTTCTAAAGTGGAGCTCAAATAAAGACCTGAGAGCATCCCTCTTTTTAGGTTTGTCCTGATCCACTTTCAATATTTAACCTATATTCATCATCGGCCAGTTTATCACGTAGAGAAGCACACGTTCCTTTCAGCAGCTTCACTGGAGCAGTTGGCAGTTTGTCTTGACCTTTCTTTGTTTTGAATCCTCTTTCCATGTCCGCATTGCCCCAGTCAAGCTCTAGACTACAACACGGATCCTCCTTTCACCAGCTAATTTACCTAACATTTGATCTCGGTTAAGAATAGGCACTTGTAGGAGGCGCCAGCATGTTGCCATCCAGAGTCTGTGGCTTGTTTCCAGTTGCCTTGAAGGACAGCGTGCTCCCGTGGCCGACATTATGTAACGGGATTCCAGCTGGAAACCGAGACATTTGGACTTGAAATCCTGCGAGAGGAGTCACAAAAAGTGGAAATGACAACGTATAAACAAGATATGAAACGCAAACTGGGGCTGCAGCAAATAATTACTGTCATCATCAGTTGTTGACTCGAGTTAAAAGTTACAAGTTGGTTTCACGCTTTTGTTTCCTATGACAAATAATCCAAAATCAAAAATATCTGAACTACTTTGACAGATACACTGATAGTTTTTTTGTGTTTACTCGGTAATTGATAGGGCTGCAACTAACTAACTAACTAACTAACTAACTAACTTGATTAATCCCAAGATGACAAATGTCTTGTTTTGTCTGCAAACAAAAGATATTCAGTTTACTGTCATAGACGAGGACTGAAACCAGAAAATATTCACCTTTAGGAGGCTGGATTTAGAGAATTCCTTTTCAAAAAAATTAAACAAGCTAATTAATTGATTAATCAACTTGTTTTTGTTTTTATGGGCACTGAAGGAAGCTGTAATATATAGAGCTAGTGATAAATCTGTCTTTAATGCCGTCTGTTTTTAACAAGACAGACTGCTCTTTGGGTGAACTCAGGATAGTGTGGACTAATACTGTGACTGTGTTCTGTGGTCCAGTCTCACCTCCCAATGGAACTACATTTAACCAGAACATTTTTGGATATTTTTCTGTCTTCTTTATTTCATTTATTTATTTATTTATTTGATCAGGGACCATGCATTTTTACTCAGAAAACATCTTCTGTATTGCATATAGAGTGTATAGCATTAAGCTCATTTTCAACTCCTGTCCCTGGTTGTTGGGCTTTTCAGCAAAAATAGACAAAGGACCAACAACACCAATAAGAACAGCTCAGACAACATTAGAAACTTATAATCCCCCACCTGCCCACACACACACACACACACACACACACACACACATACACACACACTCAGTCTGACCTTATGCATGTCATAGTTGGGTACATTCTTGTTTTTCTTTCAGCCAGTTCTTAACTTTTGCTGTGAAAGCTTTTAAATCTGCTGCTATACTAATTTCATTGGTAATGTGTTCCAGATGTGACAGTCTTTGATTGTAAAGGCTGTCTGACCAAATGTAGTTCTGCAGTCAGCTACTCTGCAGTTGTTGTTGGTGGAACTTCTGGTGCTGTCCTGTCTATGGATGAACCCACAGAGTGGCGCTGATTTATTGAAGCATTTAAACATTAATGTGAGGAAGCAAAGATGGATGAAGCTGTCAAAACCCAAACAATTGTGTTTTTAAAAAAAATATAAGACAGTGATGCCATCGAATTGGTTTAAAATGTTTAAAAGCATCAGTTCATTAATTTAAAGCGAAGCTGCCGATAACATGAATGATGATAATTATTGTTATTGCTTTTGATGATTTTTTTTTTTTACAATGACATTAATCTGCTGGTTATATAATTAATTCTTATCACTGTTTTAATGTCTAACCAGTTCTGAAATTAATTACTTTCCGCTCACTTTGATATGAAACTTAAAGCAGTAAATCCTCACATTAGATCCACAGAATGATTGGCATACTCGCTTGAGAAAAGACTCAAGCAAAAAAAGGAAGAAGAGAGAAAAAAGTTGCAGTTCTTTTTTTCCTGTTGATGGAATAATTGAATAATCACGTCTACAAAAATAATACATGAAATACATTTTTCTTGTGCCCACTCTCACTAAATCCCAACACTTTTCTTTTTTTTTTGTAAGAGATTAAGAGCAGCTTGGCTTAAAACCTCCTCATGGTTAGAGTGCCGGGGTAATTTTTTGAAAATCACAGGATTAGAGAAGTGAAAAGGTGTGCACTAATCCCCTCTCCACCGCTGTGCCCATTACACTGTCTTTTTCTGTGAAAGCACCGATTGACCCCGCGGACTCTGGTCGGTATCTGTGCTAATAAAAAGCTGGCGACACGCAGACAGGTCCACCTGAAACCACAGCAGCCTGATTGTCTCCCGGAATCAGATATTTTTCCTGGTATGCGGGGACACGCTGATGAACCGAGCATTTCCTTACGCTGAGAGTTTTGTGTTACAGGTTTCGAGAGGGGGAAGGAGGACCTCTTGCCTCTGCCTTTGAAAGAGGACTCACATTCCATATCTAAGAGCAAGGTAAGAAGAATCACTGTGCTGATGAGCTGCGATGGTTGGGAAGGGATGATTGGGGCCTCTAATGAGACCAGAGCGTTTGGGAATTACTGCACATCTTCTTGCCTCTTCCCGGTTTTTCCTCAGGCGCGAGATAGCCTACATTGAGATGAGTCACACATCATATACACTGTACGGCATCAAACATTTATCAAGTCACATTCTAACTCTGCCCTTCTTTCATGTGAGCTCAGAGTGTAGGAGGCTCGTCTAGTTTATCTGTCGTGGTCCTCGTCAAATATGTTTGTCAGTGCAAGCGTGGGTGTCTGAGGCTCCCTCTGAGTCACAGCAGAGATGCTTGCACCAGACAGAATCCTATTAAATTTTTTGTTATGGTGTACAAGTCTGAAGACGTATGACAAGACGATCATTTCAGAGAGTTTCAAAAACTCCTTATCAGCACGACTTCCCAGAACTAAGACGAGATTATAAAGAATCTGTGGACTTCAGTTCTTTAGACTCTGCTATCAGAAACATCCATCACAAGCGTGGACTCATTTCCATTTACCCTACAGGTTTCTGAACAAAGGAGATATTTAAAGGGAGATTTCAGCTTACTATCACTAAACTTCCATCCCTCTCCAACCCTCCCTGTGGCCATCAAGGCCTTAAGTAACCCTGCTGGAGAATCCCCACATTCGCCCTCATCTGCCCCTCCACCTTATGTCACTCTAGTTGGCATGTGAAGGGATCTGGCACAGACGCACCTGCACGACCATTTATAGGCCGCATTCCACTAACTGAGCTAAGTTTGGGATACCAGGGAAGTAAAGGAGCTTGAGCGGGAAAGACAATCACCTGTAGATGTTGTTTTCCAGTGATGTTGCTGCTAGTTGCTGATACTATGTAATGTAATGTCCTCATTTCAGTAGACTGTGTTCATTGAACCATTTGTGGAAATAGATTTGCCATTGAGAGGGAACACTTTGTAGCCAGGATTGCATTTAGTTTAGTTTTTTTAGTGCAACACTTAAAAAAACGCTAAAATTCCCACTTGGTAGGAACGATTGTTCAGCAGACTGCAGGGAACACCTCGCAGGATATTTATGGTTAACTTGAACAAACACATGGCTTAATTGTTGTTGTTTTCTCTATGCTATGAATGACTACATTTAGGGTTAATAGAGATATGGATCAGTTCTGTTAAACGTTTCCTCCTGTGTGTTGGCAGTCTGAAACAAAGCTGTACAATGGCTCAGACAAGGATGTGTCAGCGTCTGGAGGAAAGCTCACCAAGAAGGAGTCCCTCAAGGTAAGCGAGCTCAAAGCAGCTTAAGTCTTGCGTATCTGGACACTAATTCTCAGGGAATTCATGATGAGTCAGAAAAATACTCTTTCATGGAGAGTGTTACACGTAGCCTAACCGCTGATGCTTGTCAGGCAATATCATTTCAGTTCACACACATTAGATACTGTGTCTTCTGCTGTCGTGCACCAGTGTCACCACAGAACAAAGTAAGCAGGATGCATGACATTTAACTTAGAAGGTACCAGATGTTCTTTAAGCAGACAGTGAGGAGTGTGATTTCACTTTAGCGATGTGTGGAACGTGAGCTTTTATAGTTACGTGTAAATTAATGCATCCGACTTTCTGTGCTCCGTTCAGGTGCAGAAAAAGAATTACAGGGAAGAGAAGAAAAGGGCAACCAAGGAGCTGCTCAGCACCATCACGGATCCTTCTGTCATCGTCATGGCCGACTGGCTGAAGGTGGGCACCGCACAGTCAATTTTCCCTTTTCCTATTTCAGACAGGACACTTTTTCAGGTTGTAACCATTTATTTGAGATCACATACATTTAGTTTGGCGGTGACTCTGCTCGTGATGCTCTGGAACGATCTGCGCAAGCATGACACAGATAATCCCTGAGATCACAAACCTCCGCACAGCCATGAATTTACAATTTACAATTTTTCGAATACAGTATGAACAGGAGACCAACTAAATAGTCTTCACTAACAGAATCTAGATTACATAGTTCAAGGTACAATAATGAACCATCTGCAACCTACAATCCCACGATATGGGAAACACCGGGGTTATATGAGATTGAACTGTTTTTAAAAGGTGGTGGTTGAGGAGGAGGAGGAGATTTGATGATCTGCAGAGGCTGGAGTAGCAGCGATGTGGTGAGCGTGAAGCGGGCAGAATGAATTAACGCTGCCTCAGTTATAAAGCACGCTAAGTGGGTGGGCTGGACTTTAGTGATGACGATTGGCCAGGAGGGGCCATGTGACCGCCTGACTCCGTGCCTGTCTGAACTAACGCAAAGCTCCATATGTATTTCAATCCACCGCTAGTCACTGTTCTGTTCACAAAAACCAAAACAGTGTCACAAAATTGGTAACATTTTATTTAGTTTTTTATTTTTTTGCATTAGCTCCCATCGCTTACATTTTCAGCATAGATGACCTGACATTTCTCTGTAAACCAATGTCTCCAGATCCGTGGCACTCTGAAGAGCTGGACCAAGCTGTGGTGCGTGCTGAAGCCAGGCGTCCTGCTCATCTATAAAACTCACAAGAACGGACAATGGGTGGGAACGGTGCTGCTCAATGCCTGCGAGCTGATCGAGAGACCCTCCAAGAAGGACGGCTTCTGCTTCAAGCTCTTTCACCCACTGGAGCAGTCCATCTGGGCTGTCAAGGTCAGAATATGCCTTTTGAAAATAGAACATTCTCAGCTTCCAGGAACACGATAGAAACGCCAAGGACTGCTGACTCTGTGGTCTATTTTGGGAAGATCTGTGAAAAGGAGAGGTTTTTAAAGACGGAGGAACATTAGGGACCACACACACTACTCACAAGGACATTCCAGAGAGTCTTCCATAGGGGTTTTCAGGTATTAATTGTGCTATATTGTGTTTTCTAGCCAATAACCAATGCATGATAATATGGAAAGCCCCTTTGATGGAAAACCCAGATTTAGCCGACTAATTTTTTGCTCAAAGAACAAAGTCTAAACATCAAGCTTTGTCCATTTCAGCACCAACACTGGTTTGTACATCACAGTGAGCACAAAAGACACTCACACTTTAGTGGTAAGGTTGCTGGAGGGCACACGACTCTGTGTGTAAAAGGTTACTGATGAGATTCACCAATAATAAAAACAATTGACAAAATGTTAGCAGGAGCCAAAGTAGAGTTTGTTGCCTACAGCTGTTTGGTGGAGTCTTTCTTAGTTTATTTGATACCTGCAGCTTCACAGGGTTACGTCCAACAGCAGGATGTATATTAGCATCCCCAAAGCTACAAGGTTGTGCGCATACACATGACGTAACAGCAATGACTTTGTTCTTCATTCAAATCTTACACAGGACACCTAAACAGCCAGAGCCTGCCTTGTGTAGCAGGGGCATAGAACAGAAGTGTCAGACACTAAACGCAGTAAAAAGGCACTAACATTAGTATATTAAATGCTTGTAAAGGATAAAGTGGAGAAGTAAATGCAAAAAAGGAGCTGTGGGTGAAATTTGGCTCAGACGATTAAAGGCCTTCCCTGATTTTATTTTTAACTCTGTTAGTGGTAACATTAAAAAGCAAGTCTGCCACTGCCAAACAAAGACCTGTTTAATCTATTCAGTGCAAAGTTGCAGCTGTTTTTGCAATAGTTGCTCTTTAAACACAACAAACAAATAAGTGGTATTCCTTATCGCTCTAGAATCCGACTAGAACCACAATATATTGTTCTCAACAGCGTTTACACTGGCAGCTCCTGCTCCTGTTTCTACCAGCTACAAAAAAATCAGGAGCACAACATGGAGATTAACTGCCAGTTATGATGATCGAATGAATTCCTGTAGAAATAGACGAAGTAGGTGATGAAACTGAACACTAAAGTGCTGCTGCGCTCATCTCTGCCAGGACTGAACCTTTTAACATTTAAAGAAGTGGTCTAAATGAAGAGTTTCTCCAGAAGGCTGTACTACGAAGTGAGATTTGTGGGTTAGCGCGGTACTTTGAGCCTATAATCAGAGATTTAAATATATAACCTCCTAGATCACCTGGTAGCTGACGCTGTGGAGCTAACCTGTTCTGAAGCAAGTTATGTTCAGAATTCAGGATTTAAATCAGCTGGAAGAAACGTCTCTTTTTGTACTAAATCGTTTCCTGGTGATTCTTTATTAACGATTCAGGTTCTCAGCCGAGGGAACGTGTTTTATTTACAAACATGTTGAGCTGTGAGTTACTAACATCACTGAATGAAGCAGTTACTGTATCGCACACTGTCTGCATCGTGTTGCCATGGGAACTAGACGTGCACTTTGTTGGTGATGCAGGAATCATACAAATATGTTTTTATGTTTGGCTCTGATTTGCTATCAAGAACATTTACTCTGCTGCTCTCTGGTATTAATCACAGATCATTATTATCAGTAACATTAATTTCACTTTGATTTGGCCAAAAATGTAAGTTGTTTCTAATTACTTTTGCATTAGCTCCCATCGCTTACATTTCACTGAATTCACTTCAGTACATTATCATGTTTAAATATATGAAGGTGAAAGTAAGAAGGCTCTAATGTGCAGCTGTCAAATGGAAATAAGCAGCTGCATTGATCAGTGAAGTAAATATATTACACATGTTTAACAGTTTGCTACCAGCATTCCTGTCTTGCGTCATTTGCAATAGCACCACTTTTTATCATCATGGAGTGTTTCATTCTTTGTAGCTCTCGAGTAAAACAACGTGTTGACACATTAAACACCTCCTGTTATGTGAACGTGCACAGAGTTTGAAGCAGAAAGCATGAGTCAACAAAATAAGTTGATAACCACCTTTGTGATACCCGTGATGTCTGCCTGGGGCTTTAGTTGTTGTCACGGTGACTTACACAAACAAAACCAGGCTATGTCAGACTTGCTTCGTAGTGCAGTTCTAGTTGGATATGAAAACGTACGAGCACACTGTGGTACAATAAGTCATCCCTTCATGCTCGATGTCTGATCATGTTTCCAGTCTTCGTAGCTCAGCTCATTGGTTTCTAGTCACTGCTTCATATTTATCACACAGACATGAAGCTGGTAACAATCTTCTCATCTAATTCTCAGCAACAGAGCAAATCAGTATATTCCCAATATGTTAAACTGTTAATTTAGTCACACAATACACACAATAGTCAGACCTTACATTGTGATTATTTATCACAACAGACTGATGAGTGCGGAGCCAGAGAAGGAGATAATGCCTGTGGTTTGTGATGCAGATAGGTGAATGTGAATGCAGCCCGGTTTGCTCTCCAGCGATGCACAAAGCAAAGTGAATGCAGACAGATAATCAGGGGGAATAGGTTCTTCCATTAAAAACAGAATCCTTTGTCCCTGCAGTTAAATAATCAATCAGATATGGATGTTAACTGTATAATTAAGAGCACATCTTGGTTTAGAAAACTGCACGCCCAGCCCATCATTTTAATATTTTCCATTTGTTCTCAGCTCTGTTCAGTCGTCCACTCCAGCTGTGATTTGGTATTCATCACTGACCTCCCATCTCAAGTGTTTTCGTGTTTGTTTATGCGATGAAAAAGCTTGAAATACAATTACCGGTCTGCGTTGTAGATTACTACGTTCCTGCTCTCCCCATCGTCCTCTTCATCACTGAAAACCCACTTCAGTCGCTCTGCTTCTGTGTCCTCTGCCCCCCTCTCAATACTCATTTGCATAATTACATAGTTGGGAGCTTAAATTTTGCACATATAAATAATAAATATCTGATAGAAGGAATATAAACACTACAGGTGAAACTAGGCGATCACAAAGGAGATCTTCAAACCGCAGAGAACATTGAGAACCATTGAAGGAACTGACAGAAAATACCCACTTCAGCCTTCAACACTGTGATTGTTTTTAACGTGTGTTTCCTCCTTTTGTCTCCTACTGTCATCAGGGACCTAAAGGAGAAGCAGTTGGTTCCATCACGCAGCCCTTACCCAGCAGCCACCTCATCTTCCGAGCTGCCTCTGAGTCTGATGGTAAGAGACAGGCTGTCATTCACAGCTATTTCTCTGACTCCTGTCAGTCGCCACTGACACTGAGTGATACATGTAACCCTATGAATTTGCCGAAATGTGGAGGAGGCACTAACACGAGTCTTAGTTTTTTAAACTGATACTGTAGCTCTGCTCCACCCAGCTGGTGTCTCACCACTGACACGAATGTGAGTTTTGACAGTTAAACATATATCAACAAACAAAATTAGTGTCCGTTTCTACCCCATGAATGAATGTTTTATAACTTTGTTCAGTCATTGCATACAGTTATTTGTTTCTTGTTCAGTGTAACAAGCCCCTCTTCTTATCAGACGTGTCACCTCAGCTCTACCTGAGCCTGTTGACTAAAAGCTGCATGAGCCACTTTGAGCATAGCACACCCAAATCACCGTCTGAGCTGTTGGCAATATGTTGCATGATGGGTAATGTAGGTGCCAGACTCTTACAAGTAAGAAAAAGCTGAAGATTAATTACGAGGTTTAACCTTCAAAGTGGAAAGTATATTCTTGCTGCCACTGATACTTTTTGATCTACCTACAAGGACACTTGGAGAGTGGAGTCCTTGTCGAGGCTAACGCTATCTCACAGTACAGAGCAAAATGATCCAGATCTGCATCAAAGTTTCACAGGCTCACAGGCACTTCCTAAGCTCATGCTTCACATCACCACACAGATTTGTGAAATTCTTACCAGCAGGCAAATAAACAGTACTGAAACCACACCGCCATCTTGTTGCGAAATCCTTCCCTAAATCTCCATGCAGAGTTGCAATGACAAGATACAAAGCAGTTGTATTCAAATCAACAGGGCATGTTAAAATGTTGTCTCTTTTTTTCTGATCCAAAAAAAAAAAAAGAATCCAATTCAGAAGCTGTGATGCAGTCCTGGTTTTGTGATCTGTTGCACTCCTAATTGTACGAGGGTGTATGTGGGTGTTTACGAGGGTTTCCGTTTATATCTGTGTACAACAACACAAAATGACAAAGAGAGGTTTGAAATAGGATACAAATGGAAAGCTATTTTGTGCTTTAGCTGTTTGTTGTTTTTTTTTTTTTGGCAACAGACACGTCTCCATAGACGTTTATATGAACCACAGCCCATCTCCTCTGTGTCTCTGTCCGTGGTGCTGAAACATCCAGTCCAGCCTCTCCCTCTTCCACTTAGTCTCTCTCCATGGTGCTGGAACAGTTCAGCAGAAACCAAATCAAACGTGTTCAGCGTGTTTCCTCTTTTCTTCCTACTGTACAGAAGTTACTTTAAAACATTTTGTTTCTGTGTCTAAATGTGTAAAACATTTTTGCACTATGATTCCTTGAAACTGCACAGACAAAGATTTGGTCAGACAAGATTTTCTCATGTACCAAAACGTGCCTGCTGTTGTTTTTATTATGACAACAGCATAACTGTTTATATATTGATGTAAGTGTAAAAAATGAGAAGGATTTTTAAACTGGGGCACTTTTTTAATTCTGTATCAAGGTGGGAGGTGATTGTGAAGCTCAGAAATATGCAGTTTTCTGCAGTTTGCTGATCAGTTTCTGTCTCTTTTCCAGGCCGATGCTGGATGGACGCCTTAGAACTGGCCCTAAAGTGCTCCAGCCTGCTGAAGAGAACCATGATCCGCGAGGGGAAAGAGGACATGAGCACTGTAACCAGTGGTGGAGAACACTCCATTAATTTCTACAGCCTCCTCAGAGCCCACAACATGCACGGTTTCCAGTAAGTAGGAACATTAAACCTGCACTCTAAATTATTACCGCTCAGAGGCCTCTCATACCACCTCCCTTTTTCAAACGTAACTCAATTTCATGTTTTACGCATCGTACTACACAGCCTGCTCCCTTCTCCTTCAGGTTCAACGACAGTGACCATTTGAAAGACCCCGATCTGTACTCTGACAAGTCAGATCGCGAGGGAGAGCAGGACCACGAGGAGTCAGACCCAGAAGGCCTGGAGAAGAGCGAGGAGAGCGACAGCGACACATCAGAGCGCCAAGATGACTCGTACATCGACCTGGACCCCAACGAACATCTGCGAGAAACCCCATACCTGGAGCAATCTCACGAGGAGTTGGGGGAGGTAAGGAACAGAGAGTTTGCTCAAAGTTTTCTGTGGCCATACTTAGCTTTGATCCTGGGTAAACTTATCTAAAAGAAAATGTGATATGATTGTAGCATTAGAATGTGGTCTCATAGGATTTCTCTTAACCATTTTCATCTTTAGCTAGAATTAAAATACCATCTAAAGGCTTGTTTTTATTAAAGTTTCTTGCATAATGAGGAGAAATTAGCATGTTCCTGTGCTGGGGCAATTAGCGCTGTAGCATGGACAGGCTTTGATCACAGTTTGTGTGGGCTGGTGTGCGTGAGTGTCTGCAAGGGACCGTGGTGATATGACGACAAGTGTGAAAGTGCTAACATCAATTTCCATACTGATGAAGTTTGACAGCTCACTAATTAAACACCTACTGAAGCCAGGAAAAAATGTGTACTGTCAGGAAGGAAGGAAAACACCAGTTGCACAAACAACAACATAAACTTTATGAGCCTGTAGATACTCATGAAAGAATCTGAATGTCTCTGAGATTCTGTTTTGACGCGTGTGCATGGATATGAGTGTGTTTTAGGATGTTAAAAGTAAAAAAAAAATAGGCAAGTGAGTTTTGCTTATTAAAAGAAGGATTTGTCTGCTGTATTATAACGAGCTACCTGCAGCAAATGAAGTTTCACCTCACTGCCGTTTTGTGTCTCCAGGCTGGTGAGGCTGCCCAGACAGAAACCGTATCAGAGGAGAATAAATCTCTGATCTGGACCTTGCTGAAGCAGGTTCGACCGGGCATGGATCTGTCCAAGGTTGTACTACCTACTTTCATCCTCGAGCCAAGATCCTTTCTGGACAAACTCTCCGACTACTACTACCACGCAGACTTCTTGTCAGAGTAAGACCCTCCCATTTTCTGCTTTTTCTACAGAGCTTCCTGTTATTTACAGTGGCAATAGACAGCCTATCAACCCGTCCTCGTTGTCACAAAATACCAGATCACTTTCCGTTTTCCTCAGAGCCTCCTAACTATCAAGAGCATAGGATACAAAACAACACCACTTAGGAAATAAGAAAGAAGAAAGAAGCTCCTACATTGTTTCCTGGCTGCTAGCAGCAGCATTAGCTGAATGCTACTGTCCAAACCAAGAAACAGTGATAAGAGAGCCAATCTGAAATAGAAAACCCAGCCTCAGCATCATGATAAAGCTGACAATCCAACGCTTCTCTGTGCTTTTACAGTTTGTGACTCTAATGTACTAACGTAGAGTCTCATTTTGGCATTTAAAAAAAACAACAAAACAACAAAAAAAAACATGCTTTTCAATCCCCCAAGCAGGTTTTGGGGTTTACAGGGTTAAGGTCTGTTGCCACTTTAAAGGAATAGTTTGACAATTAAGAAATAAACTGACTCACATTCTGGCCAATAGTTAAATGAGAATCAATACAAATTGGATCTTTGCCTGCAGGCAGCTGGCTTTGTTTTACATCGACTGTACGCTAGGAAACAGCTCCTCCTACAGCAGCTCCTCCATAATTTTCAGAATTCACGAATGTCTTGTTTGTTTGATATGTACACAAACAAAATGGGGAAAGTCGGCTGTTTGGGGGGAAACTATCTAGTGACTTTTTCTTGGCAGGATACAGCGACTCTCTGGAGGTTTGCCCTCACCATGAGGTTGCCAGGCAACCAGCTCCAACAGAGCCTGGCTAGTTTCCCCCCACGTCCATTGTTGATACCAAACTGAACTGAACTGATCCCGTGTTTAGTGTAAATACATGGGAGGGATATCATGCTCATCTGTCTCCTGGCAAGAAGCAATTAGGATTATTATCCCGAATCTCAAAATGTTCTTTACGATAATCTAGCTTTGTTATTCAAGATTCTGTTTTGCTTCATGTTGAGATAGAATTTCTTGAAATTAAGAAAAGAGTTTGCAAATTGTTTAAACACTGAAATATTTATCAGGTATTTTCTGTTTCAGCAATAAAGTATTTAGGTATTTTCACAGATTCCACCTAGTTATTCACTCTTTAAGCGTATCTTTGTTTACTTCTGCTAATCTACCTGTGATTTCTGCTGTTTACATTGTACAGTTATAATTAAACTGATTAGGTGACGTATGACGATGAACATCCATTCCCTGTGTACAAATTCTCTGCATACTTTAATGCAGGTAGAAAACAAGAGACCGATCAAAGGGAGATAATCAGGAGAATTTTGTAACAGCAGAATGTGCACAGTTGTACCCAGTGAGTTAACAGCATGTGTCATAGAGGAGCATCTGTCAAGTTTGGATTTCATTTCAGAGCTGCAATTGAAGAGAATGCCTACAACCGGATGAAGAAGGTGGTCAAGTGGTACATTTCTGGATTTTACAAAAAGCCAAAGGTCAGTGCAGCTCACTCAGTGATGATGAGCTACATAAAATGTACATGCAGCAGGTTATAGTAAAATCATGTTTTATGCTGGTCTTTCATCTACAGGGGTTGAAGAAGCCTTACAATCCCATTATAGGAGAGACATTCCGTTGCATGTGGCTCCATCAGAAGACCAACAGCAAGACCTTTTACATCGCAGAGCAGGTAACGAGAGCACTAAAACCAGTCTGATGGTTCACAACCTTGTTCCATCCTTACCAGATAACTCCCTTAAAGCCCCGCTGTATATTATTGCTATAAATCATTTACTGATGGTTGCTGTTTTTGGCTCATTTAGCAACAATCACAACCACTCGAGTATCAACATCTCAGACCAGAACAAACATAGCCACACCTCCACCCTCCCTTCATGTTTCATTTACAACCAGAAAGACTGTCTATACAAGCACCAACACAAATCGTCCATCTACAACCATTAGCCCGCACTAGCTCTGTATAATACATTGTATGTTACTGTCAACTCAAGTGATGTTATCTTCCCTCAGCCCGCGTCATTTCTGTTTTCACACCAGTCTGCCCCGAGTGCACACAGACACACAACACACACAGACATCAGCAGACCTGTATGGAATCACACATACAGAGAGCAGAGTAGACATAGATGGAGAAGGAGAAGCAGAGGAGAGTCATAAAACAGTCATCCAGACTATCGTACTGAGCTTATATAAAAACACAAACAAAAAAAAACCAACACATAAATTACTTGACTTGATTCTCTGCTAAGGGCACCATTGCTTTGCTTTGTCTTTACATAGCAGATGGTTATTTGCTGCTATAGTAATGCTATATTTCTGTTCAGTTTCTCACATATTCCACACGTGATTCTGTCTTCAGGTGTCCCATCATCCACCAGTGTCAGCCTTCTACGTCAGCAACAGGAAGGACGGCTTCTGCCTCAGTGGCAGCATCCTCGCCAAGTCCAAGTTCTATGGTACAGACACATGCACAGCCTTTAATTCCAATAAAAACTATGCCCGTGTTTATTCAGCTGTGGCTTTGTTATTGCTTTGCTGTTTGAGCTTTTCTGTCCAATTAATTGGAACGTCTGTCCACAGGAAACTCGCTATCGGCCATATTAGACGGGGAGGCTCGGCTCACTTTCCTCAACCGAGGGGAGGACTACGTGATGAACATGCCCTACGCTCACTGCAAAGGTTGGAGCTCATCCTGCTCTGCTTCACACTGCTGATCACATGCTGTTGTGGTGCTGTAGAAACTGTAGAATGTGTGAAGTCTTGCAATATCACAGGTTGCATTGCAGGTTTGATCTTCTCTTTAAACGTTTTCCATGCGTCCAACGTACAGAGAGCTCGTAGAAAACTGTTTTGTAAATCCAAAGCTGTCAAATTGTTGTTGCTTTGCTTGTTTGGAAACAGGCAGATTTACACACAAAGAGTCGAGAGCTGTTTGGATGCACTTCTTAAGCATACGTTGGAGTTTCCCTGTTATTTGTTCTGACTAAATTGTCATTTGGTCGTGTTGTGTTTTTTCATTTCTCGTCTGGTAGGGATCCTGTACGGCACCATGACCCTGGAGCTGGGTGGTCAGATCACCATTGCATGTGAGAAAACGGGCTACAGCGCTCAGCTGGAGTTCAAGCTGAAGGTATGACTGTGTTTTCTAGTTTAGAACAACAGCAATTATTTAAGAGTAGCAGATATTTGTAGTCCTCTGCCAGTATAGAAAGACCTCTAGTCCTGATCTAATAAAGGAGGGAACTTGTTAAATACCTCAGAGATGTAATAGCTCTGGTGTTTCTCACGTATCTTTTCTGAATATCCCACTCCCTCACACCGTCAAAATCTCCATAATTCCACTGCTTTACCTCCCCTGAAAAACGTCCTATCCCCCAACCACGATCCACACCGTCATCATCTGCGTCATGATATAGCGACAGGTATATAAACAATACACAGGGAAGTTAGTACAAACCCACATTAGATGCCAATCAGGATGTTTTTTGGTCCCTAACTCGTCTTAAGTAGTTTTTAAAATAATAATAATAATAAAAAAAACATAAATCCAATTGTTTTGTTATGTTTTGCCTTCCAGTGGTGCATCCCTGTAGTGCATGTGAATTCATGTATAACTAATGGAAAATTCAGCAAAGTTTAATTAAATGTTGATGGCAGTTCCTTTTAGTTTCTTTTGTGGTTCAGTTGGTTTGAGACGTGGGTAGGCAAACTTAAAAGCTAAAACCTTCACACCATTTTATTCTGTCATATCTCATATATTTGTCTTGTTTTTGAATATTTAGTCACGATAACACAACCTGGTGTTGAGCTGCAACATGACAAACCTTTTAACATACTACAGACCAAAAAAAGCAGATAAAATGAAGCTCAGTGAGGATTTTTACTTCCATGAGTAAACTGTATGTGTGCATATCTCCCTCCCTCACCTCACCTTTCTTCTCTCACTGGCCTCTCGCCCTCCTCCTGTTTTCCCTCTTGTCCTCATGTGCTATCTTTTCAATATTGCCTTTGCTGTTCCTCACCCTTTCCCCTCTCTCTGCCTCCCCTTCCTTTGCTCTCCCCTCCTCCCTTCCTCTCCCCGCTCTTCTCTTTCCTCCAGCCTTTCCTGGGCAGCAGTGACAGTGTCAATCAGATCTCTGGGAAGATCAAGCTGGGAAAGGAGGTGTTAGCTACGCTAGACGGACACTGGGTAAGACACTCTTCACACATTCCTCTCATCGCTGCTCGTTGCATAAGAAACACAGAACTGTAAATTCTTTTAAATTTAATACATTTTTGTCCAAGAACAAAAAAGAAAATCCATAAAATATTATGTTTTTAAAGATACTCTATGGGAAAGTCTTTAATAGAAACTTGGAAATTCTACCAAACTAGTCTTCGCTTTGTACCTACAGAACCAAAAAGCTACTGATGATAACTTCACTCTGCTGTAGTGTGTGTCTTGTAGTTTTGTTGGAGAAAGTACAAAGAGCTTTTGATTTTTCTCTCACAGGACAGCGAGATCTTCATCAACGACAAGAAAACGGGAACGATGGACACTTTCTGGAACCCCACTCCGGACCTGAGGCAGAGCCGGCTGACCCGCTGCACCGTCCCACCAGAGGAGCAGGGGGAGTACGAGTCAGAAAGGTGCACTTTCACTTCACTGTTGTCAGAGTCAGCTGATCCTTAAATGTTCTGAAAAGTAGTTACCTGAAAATGTTCTTGCCACATTGCGAAAAAGTTTGAAACAGAGACAGCCATGATAGCAAATGTTGTGTTCTTTTTATAAAGTATGAACTTGTTTACTTTTACTTGCTTTTATTGTAGTTTCCGTCCTTACCTCTGTAACTATAAGAACCCTTGCTATATGTTTAGGGTTCTCTTTTAGGAGCTGTTTCTACAGTTTTTATTCCGCCTATACAGTGTTCCGTGTTTAAATGTCCTTTGTTCCCTTCCCAACCCACCAGACTGTGGCAGCACGTGACGCGGGCCATCAACAACAAGGACCAAACCGAGGCCACCAATGAGAAGTTCATCCTGGAGGAAGCTCAGAGGAAGTCGGCCCGCGAGCGGAAAGCCAAATGCGAGGAGTGGATCCCCGCCCTGTTCGAGCAGGACTCTGTCACTGGAGAGTGGCATTACAGATATGCCGAGTGAGTGACTTCTCTACTGGCTGTGAAGTACAGATTAGAAGTACGGCGAAGGGCTAAAATATTGCTGCTACTTCACCTCTATTGAATTGAACCAACATAAGCAGGCGAGTTGTGGTTCAGCAGTTGTTGTGAATCTTTTAGCTGCACAACTGATTCTGAAAAATGAATTTGTGCATCTGTGCTGCAGCGTACTGCTTACAAACACATTCAGAAGAGCTTAAAGAAACCTGACAGTGATATATCAGGCTATTTAACAAATACACATAACATCCATCCATCCATTATCTATACACCACTTAATCCTCACCAGGGTCATGGGGGGCTGGAGTCTATCCCAGCTGACTCAGGATGAAGGCAGGTTCACCTGGACAGGTAACCAGTCTATCACAGGGCTACACTTAGAGACAGACAACCAAGCACACTCACATTCACACCTACAGACAATTTAGAATCACCAATTAACCTCAACATGTTTCTGGGCTGTGGGAGGAAGCCGGAGAACCCGGAGAGAACCCACACTGCATGGGGAGAACATGGAGACTCTATGCAGAAAGATCCTGGGCGTTCTAACCAGGACGCAAACCGGCGACCTTCTAGCTATGACGCAATGGTGCTAACCACTGACCACCATGCAGCCCTAACATAAACATCATGAATTTTTTTTTTTTTTTTTTTAATTATTTGCTGAACAAGACTAAGATGAGGACTTATATTGTAAAATGAACTCGTCAGTACTCTCTTTTGATGTGGAGCAGTAGCACATGTGTTTCCATCTCACAGGTGGTTCTAAATGCACTGCAGTTTAAAGCTACTCCCACCTGCTACCTCATCATCTTTATTGGATTATCCAGTGTGGCAGGGTGCCATCTAGTGGCGGCTCACTGTAGCTGCAGAGGTGATGTCCAGGCTACTATGACAACAGGGGTTTTTTGTCTGTCATAAAGCATGGTAGATAAGACAAGCACCCAGAGAGGCAGACTGTGGATAAAAAGATTCTCTTCTCTCATTAATAATGTGTTACCTTTTGTTTTCACTGGGGAAGGTTGCCAGGACTGAAATAATTTTGTTCCATCTTCTCTCTCATTTGTTCCTATTTCTTATTGCACTCTACTCTGTTTCTCTGTACCTCTCTTTACATAATCACCATTTACCTAATCCCTATCGTTTTAACAGTTTTCTTCCACACCCCATCCATATCTGCCTCCTTATTTCTACTCATCTTTCCGTCCGTCTCTCTCCAGCACGAGGCCGTGGGATCCGCTCAATGACTTGATCCAGTTCGAGAAAGACGGCTGTATCCAGACCAAGGTCCGACACCGCACCCCTATGGTACGTTCTGGCAGTCTTATTAGTCTGAGTAACCAGGGGCCGCGGAGGGACAATTGCAAGTGCCAGGTAGGTTGTCCCGACAACCGCCATTCAAACCAAAAAAAAAAAGCATCCCGCCGTCTCAGCCATCTTCCACGCAGCACCCGATGCACCGTCTCCATTGTCGCTTCTTCTTTCTGTTTGTGTCGCCATCGCTGTGCTGCCACCGCCGTCATCGCCTCTGCTCCTTTTGTGTCTTTTTATTTTTCTCTCGTTGCCCCGACACCTCTGGTTCACCTCTCTTGTTCTGGCACTGGCTGTTCTCTCTGAGGGAAGGTCATGTCACACTGCATGCTGTAGCAGGTGGATAACAAGGTGTTCGTCTTCTTTTACTTGCTTTGTGGAGAGGAAGAAGATTATTCAGCCTAAAGGGGAATATGTGTCACATCAGCAGTATTTGGAAACTTGGTGTAGCTGCAGGCTTCTTATTATAAGACACACTGTGGAAAACTGGATGAAAACAAGTCAGGTTAGAAAGTGCAGAAAAACTGAACTTAACAATCACTGCTGGTGATAAAACAACTGCAATGTCAGCAGCATTTTATGCTGTTTGTTTTCGAGGGAGGATCTTTTGCTGTGAATTATTGTCTAATGTGAAATTATGAAAATCAAACTTAGCAAGTTTGCGCTTTGTACTTTAAACTTTAACAGGGCTTCAATCAACATTTTTTTTAAAGCACTGAATCGTAATTCTACATGTAAAGAATAGCTTTCACTTACAATAATCAGCCACAATCTGCAGCTCTGTGAAACATTTTAGTCTCATTCAACTCATTGTTTTTGTTTCTCAGCTACAGATTTGCTGTTGTGGTTCAGCAGGCAGCTGTCTTCAGTGAATATGCTCTAATAAACCCACGGTGCACTACTAGTCCAGCACCAAATGGCAGACTGACAAAGCTGGCAACCTGCTGGGGAATAAAGTGGAATATTTAGAAGCCACAGAGTCAGATATTTGTCTTAGGGGTTGTTTGAGACCAAAAGAGGGATAAAAGGTGAGAGGTTTTAACGTGCATTTCGAAATAAAGACCGTTATGTCCCATACGATGCACAAAAGAGAGAACAGCTTCGTCATTACATCAGCAGACCGACACAGCCGTCAGTACCTGGTTGCTTCAGAGCAGCCGCCCTGCCGTCCTCACCCGTCCTCATCTCTGTTTTCTTTGTTTCTGTTATGTTGGCTAACGGCCTCTTAACGTTGACTTTTACTGACCTGCTGTTCGTAGATCATTCTGTGTTGAGACTCTAAAGGCTGATGTGCAGTCTAGCGTTTGGCCTCTTTTTGCATGTGTGTGTTTAAAGTAGCCACCTGCCAAGTGCCAAAGCCAGTGAATATCATCTTTGGTGAATAAATCAGTCACCATCAGTACTGTCAGGGTTTTTAAAATGCTGTGCACTGTCTCCAAGTTACCACAGATGCATCAGAGACTCACTACAGAGCCATAAACCAAAGTCTGTCTTTGGAAATTCTTCATTATGAAACTGTGCTCAGAGGAGTATAATCTATCCTCACATGTTTTTTCTTTTCTTTTTTCTAAGTGAATCATAGAAAATGCATTTGTGCAGTTTAGCATTTTGACCTTCAGGCCTTCATCAGACAAACCTTGAAATGCGTCTGTGCTGCCAGCTCTAAATCAACCCTAGAACCTGTTTTAGCAGATAAGATTACCGGCCTGAACAGTTGCATTACATTAATTGCAGACCTGAAAAAATAAAAAGCTATAATCCTGTAATACACTTCAATGCCTTTGAACTAAATACTGTTCATGTGCCAGCTCTTGGCAGGTTTGGTTAGATTTGAATGCTGGTTGTGTGTGATGAGTGTTCTGAGTGGATGTGATGTACCAGCATGCCTCACACAGCCGTCATCACCTCGCCAATGCCGACTAGCATGTTCTGTGTGTGTGTGTGTGTGTGTGTGTGGGGAGGGAGGGACTTTTGCATCATAGTATAATATTGTTGATGTTTTTTCTCTTTTTTGTTTTCTTTAGTCTTGATTTTTTTATATATCTAATTTTCTTTTGGTTGTAGCTGGTGTGTGTGGCCTGTTCTCTGACCTGTTTATCCTTGTGTGTGTTTGTGTGTGCTCATGTGCGTGCATGTGTAAACAGGTAACGGTGCCAAAGAGGAAACACAAGAGCGACAAGCCCAAGAGCCCAGAGAGCGGCTGCTCTTCACCCGAACCCGACCGCCAGGACTCATCTGGCAGCGAACGTGAGTCACACACTTCAACACTCGCACAAATACACAGAACACAGAGGATGATATGAATAAACCTGGTTAAAAAATTACATTTAGTTCCACCAATCATCGCACATTATCATTCTAACAAATACACAGCAGCCCAGTGAGCAGCTTAGAGAAGAATTAAGAACAGAAGGTGTTCTCAGTTTGTAAGTGCTTTTTTAAAAGCCTGTCAATCACAACATTTCAGTGTGAAGCTGAACTATATGTTAAACTGCTGACATGGAAATGCTGTTGAATTACAAGTTAATGTGACTCAGACAAACCCAGAGTGTCTAACTTTGTGAAACACCAAATCAAGAGTTTGATTACGCTGTGACTTTGGTGGACAAGTGACCAGCTGTAAAGTAACTATCACGCTCTGCTGGGATTTCTTCTGTGCACCTTGTGGAGGTGATAGAGGAGGCATTTTGTCATAATCACCTCACCTTCTGAATCCCAATCAGGTTTAGCTCCTGTCACTTTTTTGGTGGCCTCATTTTCCACTACAGTGCATCTTCCAGCTCCTCTGTTTACTGTCTCTGAGCCGTGCTGCATTTCTTGTGTTAATCCAGTAGGTTTGATTTTCCTCTCAACCTCTACTGTTGTCTTCTCTTTGCTCTGTGTGAACACAGCCTGCAGTTCAACTGAAAACTCTGAGGTTTTGTCGTGTAACTATTCACAGCTTCTCAATCCTCAGTCCTGGGAGCTTAACAGATGCACTTTGCCTCCAAATTCACATCCCTTTTTGTTTTTAATCTGTCCCACAATTATGAAAAGAAATCTCTCCAGCCAGGATTTTCTTACTGTCATTGTGAATATATGCTGAGACAACAATGAAGAAGTGACTGCAGTATCATAGTAGAGTAACAAGGTCATGCAGCACTTGGGTAGCAGGTACAGAGCAGAGCTTAGTTCTTCTCTGCAAAGGACGATGTGACCAAGGCTGCTTGTAATGTGGAGTTCAGTTTAGTGCCAAATATAAAAGCAGAACCACATCACATGTAGTTAAGCTTCCCTGATGCTTCTAAAAATCACAACTAGTTTTATTTCTGTTCTGAAAAGGTTACCAACAGACGGCTTAATCTGCCTTGCATAAGTGCTGGCTCACTGGTGCATTCAAAGGTTTTAATTTAATGTGGTGGAAACTGTAGAAAAGCCGTCTAACGTTCTTTGTTGCAGGACACAAGAGCAAACACAACAGTCGGCTGAGGAAAAAAGGAGCAGACCTCAGCGAACTTCAAAGTGCCATTGAATCTATAAAGCAGACGCAGGAGGACATTAACAGGTGAGGAGCGTGTCCGTCGCGCTGCATCACGAGTGTAACACGACGCCACGCCTCTCAGCACTGACAGACCGTGTGTGTGTGTGTGTGTGTGTGTGTGTGTGTGTTTGCAGGAGCATCGGCGTGCTGCGGAGTCGCGCAGCAGGCCGGGTGGAGGGCAGCTCGTTCCTTCAGCAGCGCGACTACGTCATCATTGTTTTCCTCATCCTCCTTCAGGTCCTGATCAACTACATCTTCAAGTAGCAGCCATAAGCCACAGAGAGAGTGATGCCGTCTCACACACACACACACACACACACACACACACAGAAACACACTCCCCGAACATTAGGCATCACGACGGAGCGGTCTCCTCCAACTCTTCTCTGTCTCTACGAAACCCAATTACCGAACGGCTGAAGCCTCCACACGAAGAGAGACTTTTTAAAAACTGTTATTTATTTTTAACCAGTCCATTCCAAATCTCCCGGGAGATCCACAGATTTCAAAGTGGAGAGGAGCAGCGGTGAGGAGAAATTGTCGGAGGTGAGATTTTTGACGTGATGAAGTCTCAACTGCCACTCCGGAGCTTATTGATTTGCCTTGACGTGAGAGGCAAAGACAGCAGCCGTTTTTTTTTTAGCTGTTGTTTGTGTTTTTTTTTGTTTGTTTGTTTTCTTCTGATGGAGTGAAGCTACTCTGTTGATTCACATTTCACCTCAACTGACAGGGAACTTTTTAACAGGAAACGAGGACCACAACTCAGATTGTAACAGATATATATATATACACATATATATATATATAAAAGTACACCTTTAATTTTAATGTGTTTTTTTTAAATCCTTTTGTTTCTTTGCTTGGCGTGTCCTTTGTGAATAGCGGTGTGCTCGGACAAAAACAGATGATAAGGGAGAGAAAAACAAAGTGGTCCATTGTGTGACTTTTATTTTTTTATTATCAGATACTTTGATATAGGCTGGGGAGATCCACACGTGGGAGTGGACAATGAAGACAAACAACACATTGTCAGAAGGAACAGAAGCTATAATTTCTCTTGTATAATAAAACTCCACCTTTTGCAAACAAAGTCAGTGTTTAAAAAGAAGTCAGATGTTTGACACAACGTCATTGTATACCGTAGGTAGCATGTACAGACAGGAGCGTGGTTAGGACATTAGCCCTATGTACAGTATTTTGTCTTAAGGCGCAAATGCACTGGAAACGTCAGATGTTTGTGTCCTTTATACATTTCTATCAGTTGAAGTGGATGCTCTTATCAACAGAGGGCTAAAAAAGAAAACAAAAAAAAAGCCGATTTTTCATGAACTTCAGTGAGCACTGCCCTAGGTTTCAGGTAGAAGGAGTTGATATGGTTTAAACCAAGAGTTCAGAGGAAGACGTTGGCTTTTAAAACGTGAATTCTGCAAAGCTAAGCGCTGCAGTCTCTCTTCATACTGAACGGTAATGAAGTCATACAGGGAATACGTTTAATTGCTTTCGTTAGATGAGAAGATCAGCCAGCAGCTACTTAGCATAAAGACTGCAGCCAGTGGAGAAGAGCTGTCCAACAGTAACCAAAGCCACCTACTGCTAAAGCTCACTAATTACAACATTATGCTCTGTTCAGTCTTCACAAAAACCAAAGTGTAACATCAACACATTTTTAATTAAGATGGGATTATGTGAGCAACTGTTCCTTACCGCCTTATCTTTTTTGGACTAACCAATCAAGATGTAACATAATGATTAGTCTGGGCTGGAGGTAGCTGGTAATTGGACGCTCTTACCGCTGAGCTTTTATGCTAAGCTAAGCTAATTAACTTATGTTCACACTAGGTGGTATGATCTTCTAATCTAACCTATTACAAGAAAGTGAATAAGCATATTCCTAAAAACTAGATCTAACATAAAAGCAGACTTTTCAGGAAAAATGTTGGTAGAGAAAACTGCTACCACTCCCCTGACTGCTGTGGCTTCACGGCGAGTCAAGTCCAGAGCATCAGTCATCTCTTCCAGTGCTTTTGAGCCTCAGATGTTAACCAGGAAACCTAGAATAGACACTTTAGTAAGCTACTAGTAAGAGGAGGACATAGACTCCTAGACTTTTTTCTAACTGTCTCCATAGTAAACCATTCCAAAATGTACAAGCCAAACTCAGTGTGTAGAGTAGGAGCCGGTCCCTGTTCACTGTGTAAATATCCAAATGGGGTAACAGTTTCTCGCGATTAGCGCACGGCGTGTCAACACCAAGGTTCGCAATGCAGACACTTGCTCTGTGCACAAACCACTCTGTTCAACCTTGTGTGTCTTTCTGTCCACTGCTCTGTAGATACACATGAACATGGGCAACATAATAATAATAATAATGATAATGATAATAATAATAAATAGTTGGGCACCCAATTAGATTAGCATCAGAATTGTATCCAAATGGCCTCAACATGTTGCACAAGTTTGTAAATTTAGTTGGCATACATTGTGGGTCCAATCTGCTGCCTTCGTCTTTGGAAATGTGTCGTAAAGTCTTAATTGTTATGTGAAAACAAGGCCTGAGCTACACAACCTGCTGAGATAACACCTTAGAAACTTTAAGTCTTCAATTGTTTTATATTTACAGATTTTCGAAAGATGAATATTTTCACAGGGGCTGCACGGTGGCTCGGTGGTTAGCACCGCAGCAAGAAGGTCGCCGGTTCGCGTCCCAGTGAGGACACCCGGGATCTTTCTACTTGGACTTTGCATGTTCTCCCTGTGTGTAAAAACTGAGATTAAGACAAATGTAAACACAGGACTTTCTATGAATTGGCGTGTAAATATATCGTGAGTGACTTCAACACACGTCCAGCTTTAGGAACAGTTTTCTAAACAAAGTGTAGAAGTAAGTCGACAATGTGACACCGCACATATTTACAGCGCCATGAGGACTGTGGGTCTCCAGCAATCTGGTCAGTTTACTGAGAAGACCGTTTGGAAGCCATATTTGTTTTCAACCAAGAGTGAAGGCAGCATATTGGAGCCCATAGCTGAGCTTTCTAACTAACATTCAGTCTGGACTTCCTCCTAAGCTGAAGTAAAAACAACGATGCAACACATTTGGGCCAATCATGTCTGTGTATCATCCAGGTCATGGTAATCCTAAGTATCACAGAGGAAGGTAGCCAGACTTATTTGGGTTCCTTAAGATGTTTCATATCTAATCTGAGATGCTTCTAAGTGACTGGTGGAGGGATCTCAGGACCACACCACTCATCAGGTACCTACAATGCCATCCTGAGAGGCCTTCCCACAACCGGTCACCCCTATGAGTCCTGGGACAGTCATGTGAGCTGTGGGTGAGAATTAAATAAGCCTTGTGGACAAGTGACGAAACATCTTAAAGAACCAAACATAGAAGTCCAGTTGCCTTCTGCTGTAGCACCTAAAACAGGCCATTCCTAAAGTTCCAGACCACTTATGGACCGTATCTGAACATTGATTTTGTATATCTCTTCGCCTGTCATGATGTTAGCCTTGTCGACGTTTACATATCCGATTGCCTCCGCCGTCAGCAGACTGTTACATGATGAAACATTTGTAACGCCAACACAGGTATAAAGAAGGACTGGTAGCATTGGCGGGAGCCAGCTGTACCCCCCGTAAGTTACCCGGCTGGCCCGTGTGTATCTGTACGTGTGTTTTTTCCTGCATCCTCATTGCCTCAATCGCTCATCTTAAAGTAGAGAATCCAGATGTTAGAATGTGGAGAAATAAGTATATACCAGTGCCTTCTAGAGTCGGATTGGGGAGGGGGTAGATAGGGGTAGAGGAGGGGGTTTTAGCGGAGGTGAAAGGAGGCCAGCGGCGATGTCGGGGTGGGGGTGCGCTGGGTGTGGAGCTTACAGACATAGCCAGAGTCTTACGAGGTGGGCTGCTGAGGTGGGAGGACGGTGGGACTCTGGCTGCAGCTGTAGTCACTGTAGCGTTTTAGAGTGGACGTGCCATACGAAGCCTTAGAAACGACTCCAACTCCACAGGTCGCCGCCACACCCAGCTCCCGCCTCCTCCTCCTGGAGCGTCGCCATAGTAACGCACCCGTAGGTTTTCCGGATGCTGATTCCTGCCACAAGAGAAGGAGAGAGAGAGGGAGGGAGGGAGAGACGCCTCTCCTCTCCGTCGCCGTCGTCCTCTCTCGTTCTCTCACACACCAAATTCAGAGGGAAACAAACATCTCTGCTGTCTGTTGTTGTTGCTGTGTCTGTAAAAATAACATTTTATTTATTCCTCTTTTTCTATGTGGGTTTATGTTCATTTTTTTTCCCTCCTGCTCGTAGATCTAGATCAACGTTCTCCCTTTCTTGTTTGATGTTTTATTTTTTTCCAGAAAGGATTTTAAATTCAGTCAGCTTTATTCCTCTCCTTGACGTCACACAAACGAGTGTCCTCAACTTGTGCACACTGTCAATGTCCCCCCTCCACACACACACACACACACACACACACACACACACACACACGAACCCTTTTTCATATAAGAGTACCTGAATATATTTACTGTATCTCCATGGCAACTATAACTTCCTGGAAGTTTATGGTCACATGTAACTTAACACAGAATAAAAAGAAGTTAAATACTCAGGTCTCTTGTCTGTATTTGGTGTAAAGACACATTATTATCCAAAGCAACTGCATATGTAGGATTGATTGATTCTGTTTTCACCGATATTCTGAGACGAGTCATTGCTGTTGAGATTATTTGTCCAAAAAAAAAAAAAAACACGTATTGCAATATTATGTGTTGTTGTGCAACTGCAAAGAGGTGTACTGTGGATAACAAGTCGATCACAACATGAGCAGGGCGTCATGTGAATGACTTAAAAGTGTAAATGTGGTGAAAAGAAAGTGCAGCAGAAATAGGTCACCTTAAAAATAAAGCAGACGTCCACAGACTCTGGGCTGCAGCATCGGAGAGAAACTAATCTAAATAGCATCAGAAAAGCAAACAGTGAAAAATAAATGAAAGATCCGTCAAAAGAGAATGGATTAAAGCAGGGATGAGAGCGCAGTGCGAATAAGAGAGAGAAATGGGACAAAGGGAATTGGTTCAGATTTAAATCAGATTTCTTTAAGTTTGCTCAGAGTTGTTGACTTGGCAGCGGCCATAACAGTTTATCTGCTAAACACGTGCACGCTAAACAACAGGACGAACAAACCAAGTCTTCTTTCCTCGCTCTTGATGCAGGTACAGGTGGTGGTCAGACGTATGAAACTCATTTTTAACAACAGAAAAGCCGTAAAACGACCTCATCGTGTCATCTCAGTGTGCAGCACGTTCTGTTAATGATGCTGTATAATGCAAAAATACGTTTTTCATCATTTCTGAACATAATTACATGTCCACCACCTCCTTTCCTTCTTTTTCTCCATCGATCACAAAGGCTCAATCCAGTGTCGACAGTCAGACTTTGAGGTCCACACCTCTGCTGAACAACTCCTACTTGTACCACATGGCTCATGGCAAAGACTTTGAAAGCAGAGGCATTGAAATTTCAGGCCTCTCGTTGAACCTGGAAAAGATGATGGCTCAGAAGAGCGGGGCAGTGAAAGCTCTGACTGGAGGAATCGCACATCTATTTAAACAGAACAAAGTGACCCATGTCAATCAAGTATGACGGTTCTCGGACCTTCTGAGCCCTTTTTAGACTCTTTCTGCAAGTCCATTCCTGCAGCCCACAGTTCAGAATCAGAAACAGCTTTATTTCCAGGTAGAGTTTACACAATACGAGGAATTTGTTCTGCTGGGTTGGTGCAACAATAAACACACACAGTGAGGTACAAGATAAAAATAGCTTAAAAAATAAAAGTATATGTTTGAAGGAGTTTGTGTCCGGGGTGGGAGAGGTCGGCCATAAGCTTACCTGCACGCCTCAGAGTCCTGGAGGCGCACAGTTCATAGTGTACTGACTTAGAACATGGAGTTATCAGGGAGAGGCTGTGTCATTTTTTTTAAAGAAAAACAGGTAAACAAAAAAAGGGAGGTAGGAGCAGCTAAGCTTATAAATAAAAAGACATGCGAGTGTAAACACTGGTGATCCATAGCAGAGCCGTGTG